GAATGTGAAAATGAGAGAAAGAGTGAGCAGGGAGTTAGTCTCTCAGTGGGGCTGGCCCGACACCGTTAGTGAGTGCGTTACTGCAGTGTTGCAGTCGCTCCCAGTGTATTTCATAGCTGTGCAGCAGTACACTAACAGCAGAGAGAGCAGACAGGCCACAGAGACAGAAAGAGGGAAATGTCAGACCCACAAATAGCACCTCAACGTCTCATCTGAAGAGAAACCACAGAAACAATAAGATGGGAGATGGAAAGCAATAACCATGCCCACACACACAATTATTTCCATCTACACATATTCTTACCTGTCAACAAATGAGAGTTGTGAAATGCTCATTGTTCATCAATCATGTATTTATGCAATAAATCCACTGATGGTAAATACTGGTTTGAATTTGTGTACTACATTAGCCTCATACAGTTAGGCAGACTACAGGCTCATTGGTTAATGGCAGGCTATATTTCACTCTGCTGGGTGTTGATTGAGGAGAGAGCATCATCCGCCTACACCACAAGCCACTGTCCCCCACTCCACCCGCCCCTGCCGCCCAGATGGCAACCACGGCACCTGCTTTATCCCTCTCTATAAAGAACGTTGCCTGAAAGATGCAGCCATCATAAATCCAAAACCCTGTCCGCCTTCCCTTCCCTCTCGCCACCCTCCCCACTACTCTAATTTACAGCTTCTTCCAGACACATTCTCCAGCTGAGTACTAAAAGGGAAATGTTTCTATTGAAAAATGATTGCAGAACTCCCCGTGTCGATACTGCAGCAGATATGAAAGAAAATCGAGAGGGAGAGAGAGGAAGCAGTATGAGAAGTAGCTAAACCTGGGCAAGACAGACTATTTTCAGTCCTCTTTCACTCGTACTCTTTTCACATCTGCAGTTCCAGGTCTGACGTAGTTTTCAAACCACCAACTCGGTCATATCAGTCCTGTCTGGGGTAAACCTTCCCCACCACCAGTCTGTTCAGTTTGCAACAAAAACAGAATCCATGCCTTGTTCACCTCAACACAGGTCTATTCTTTCTACTATTTTGACAAGCTATTGTAAGAGTATTACTTTTAATATGACTATAAATCTTACTTTTATCTGTCCTTAACATTCTAAAACAATTGCATGTGCTGTGACTACAGTTGGTTTTCACACTCAAGTAGGTTGCAAGGTGGGAAACCTTTTGTGAAAACCCCTTTTTCCTTTTGTGTAGCAATTCTCTGGATGCTTCAACTTATTAACAAATCTTTCAACATTACAGAATTATAGCAATCAGATATTACAGTAATTTTCAGAGATCCCATTTTTTAAATCTAATGATCTGAGGTGAATAGCACACATTAGTTTGGCATCACAGACTCTCACAGCTTATTGGTTGAACACCCGGAACTAACACAGCTGATTGGTGTTGCCATGCAGAGTTTCACACTTTTGATTGGTCTTGTGTTGCCGTGCTAGCATCAGGCACTGCACTATGGAGGGTCTTTCTTACTGGGTTTCATTTGCTGACACTTTTTTTCTGGAGAATTGTGAATGGTGATTGCTGCCAGCAATTCATGCTGGCTAGTCGCTGAATGATGTTGCCAGCAGTAGCAGGGCAGCCTGCTTTGGCTGAAGTGCAGAATTAAATATTCACTGCTTGCTTACGGCTAGTTGCAGAACAGAGCAGTTCTGTGGTGCAAAGTTCTGAATGCTAGCACAATAAGCATGATGTTATGCTTAGTGTGTGTATTTCCATGAGAGAAGCCCCAAACCTATGACAGAAGGACTGTTTCATTGGCCAGAAACAATCTGCCAAACTCTGCCAAATTATGACTCCTTTTCAGAGAGAGAAAGAGGAGAGGGAGAGAGTGCAAAGAGAGGAGAGGAGGGTGAGAGGAGAAAGAGGAGAGGAGGGTGAGAGTGAAAAGAGAGGAGAGGAGGGTGAGAGGAGAAGGAGAGGAGGGTGAGAGGTGAACAGAGAGAGGGGGTGAGAGTGAAGAGAGGAGAGGAGGGTGAGAGGGAAAGGAGAAGAGGAGGGTGAGAGTGGAAGAAGAGGGAGGGAGAGGAGGGTGAGAGTGCAAAGAGAGGAGAGGAGGGTGAGAGTGCAAGAGAGGAGAGGAGGGTGAGAGTGCAAAGAGAGGAGAGCGGGTGAGCGGAGAAGAGAGGAGAGGAGGGTGAGAGGAGAAAGAGAGGAGAGGGGGTGAGAGGAGAGAAGAGAGGAGAGGAGAGAGGGAAGGAGAGGAGGGTGCGGGAGAAAGCGAGAGGAGGGTGAGATTCGAAAAGGTTGAGGAGAAAGAGAGGGGGTGAGAGGCAAGAGAGGGAGGGAGGGTGAGAGGGAAAGAGAGGAGGGTGAGAGGAGAAAGAGAGGAGAGGAGGGTGAGAGTGCAAAGAGAGGAGAGGAGGGTGAGAGTGCAAAGAGAGGAGAGGAGGGTGAGAGTGCAAAGAGAGGAGAGGAGGGTGAGAGGAGAAAGAGAGGAGAGGAGGGTGAGAGGAGAAAGAGAGGAGAGGAGGGTGAGAGTGCGAGGAGAGGAGGGTGAGAGGAGAAAGAGAGGAGAGGAGGGTGAGAGGAGAAAGAGAGGAGAGGACAGGAGGGAGATAGAGAGGTAGACAGGACCACATAACTACTTTCACACAAGTCCTCCAGAACCAAACAGGGTAGGGGCATGTAGGCACAGAGATTAATTCATGAGGTGCTGTTTTCAAAACATCATTACAATCACCCCCCCCCCCCCCCCACACCCACCCCTCAATCAAAATGTAATGTCATTGAATTACAGCAATACAGACCCACTAAAAACTAGGATTTTATTAATATGGGCGCAGCGACGTTGGCCGTAAAACAGAGGCGCTAGTCACAGAACACCTATTGATGGCTCAGCACATTTGCAACAAGCTGTTCTTATTACAGACTGCCAGGGTGCTTCCTGCAGGCAGCCGAAATGGAGGAAGACCAGGAGGATGGTGAGATAAAAACTGTACAGTTAATACAAAAACAGTGCTAATTTGCTGTTGAGGGCGGTGGAGGCAGCCAGTCGTTGCAGGTGCCAGATGTGATGTGAGATGGCGCTGCTGTCAGGGCAGTGTGTGTTATGCATCCCATACGCGTTCAGCCAGAACAATGTCACCCCGCCAGATAGCAGCAGCCAATTCAGGTGAATTGTGTGTGTGAAGGTGTGTGTGTGTGTACACACAGTGAATGAATGTTTTTTTTTTATCACTGTGAGCATACGAGGACAAAATGCTGTGTGTGTGTGTGTGTGCGTGCATGCGTGTGTGAAGGGGAAATGGAACATACCGTAACTCTGAGGATATGTGAAAGTTGAACGCAAGAGGCACTAATGTTCAGTGAACAGCCCACGTTAGAATGAGTTATCGTGTTTGTATGTACACTGAACAAAAATATAAATGCAACATGTAAAGTGCTGGTCAAATGTTTCATGAGCTGAAATAAAAGATCCCAGAAATGTTCCATACGCACAAAAAGCTTATTTCTCTCAAATTTTGTGCACAAATTTGTTTACATCCTTGTCTGTGAACATTTCTCCTTTGAGAAATAATCCATCCACCTGACAGGTGTGACATATCAAGAAGCTGATTAAACAGCATGATCATTACACAGGTGCACCTTGTGATGGGGACAGTAAAAGACCACTCTAAAATTAGCAGTTTTGTCACACAAAACAATGCCACAGATGTCTCAAGTTTTGAGGGAGTGTGCAATTGGCATGCTGACTGCAGGAATGTCCACCAGAGCTGTTGCCAGAGAATTATATGTTAATTTCTCTAACATAAGCCGCATCCGACAACGTTTGAGAGAATTGGCAGTATGTCCAACCGGCCTCACAACCGCAGACCACGTACGTGTATAGCGTCGTGTGGGCGAGCGGGTGGCTGATGTTAACATTGAGGTCAACGTTGTGAACAGAGTGCCCCATGGTGGACATGGGATTATGGTATGGGCAGGCATAAGATATGGACAACGAACACAATTGCATTTTATTGATGTCAATTTGAATGCAAAGAGATACTGTGACGAGATCCTGAGGCCCATTGTCGTGACATTCATCCGCCGCCATTACCTCATGATAATGCACAGCCCCATTTCGCAAGGATCTGTACACAATTCCTGGAAGCTGAAAAAATCCCCGTTCCTCCATAGCCTGCATACTCACCAGTCATGTCACCCATTGAGCATGTTTGGGATGCTCTGGATCGACATGTACGACAGCGTGTTCCAGTTCCAGCAACTTCGCACAGCCATTGAAGAGGAGTGGGACAACATTCCACAGGCCACAATCAACAGTCTGATCAACTCCATGCGAAGGAGATGTGTCGCACTGCATGAGACAAATGGTGGTCACACCAGATACTGACTGATTTTCTGATCCACGGCCCAACTTTTTTTTAAAGCTATCTGTGACCAACAGATGCATCTCTGTATTCCCAGTCATGTGAAATCCATAGATTAGGCCCTAATGATTTCCTTATATGAACTAACTCAGTAAAATCTTTTAAATTGTTGCATGTTGAGTTTATATTTTTGTTCAGTATACTGTATGTGTATGAAAAAGAGAGAGAGGGGAAGGGATAATGGAGAGAGAATTGCTTTTATCAAGCGCGCGGGATCCTGATTATAAAAAGATCGGAGTCAGCACAGCACAGCCCCCCCCCCCCCCCCCCCATCATCAGCAGAGAGGGCCGGCACTATGCTGCAATCCCCCATTCCTCCCTCCCTCGCTCCTCCTCTCTCTCCCTCTCTCTCTTTCAGAATGCTCTTTCCCTGAGTGCATCAGGAGCCTGCAGAGGAGCGGTGGAGGCTGACTGGCGCTATCAGGGGCACCCTGCTCTGGCATGCCAGGAGGACGCCACAACCCAGGAGAGGGTTATGAGACAGAGCGAGAGAGCCTGCCCACCACTGGCCAGCGCCAACACAGCACTAGAGAGAGAGAGAGAGCGAGAGAGGGGGGAGAGAGAGAGAGAGGGGGGAGAGAAAGAGAGCGAGAGAGGGGAGAGAGAGAGAGGGGGGAGAGGTCCACCTTCACCAGAGAAGGAACAAAAGCAAGGGAGAAAAAATAAAGTGCGAGTGAAGAAGAGTGTGAAAGAAAGGAAAAAGACCCCAAAAGAAAGCCAGCGCAAAAACGGAATGAGCAAAAAACTAAATGGTGCATGAATAATAAGGACAACTTAACACCCCCCCAGATTTGACTTGACAATCACTCTCTCCACTCTGCTGCTCGGTAAAAAAGAGGGGGATCGAGGGAGAGGGCTGGCCGAGGGAAGGAGAGAGGAAGAAAAGAGCGACTAGAGATGACGGAGTGAGGCGATGGAGAGGATCAGGTGAGTGACTAATGGCATGGAGAGAAAAACGGTACGAGACGGGTGTACATGCTAACACGTGCACATGATTGGACACACAGTGCTTCACAGAGCGGTGATGTATTTGATTCTGTACCACATTAGCTCAGTGGACTGCAGCAGTGTGATTTGTCTATGTCAGTCTATGGCTACTCATTAAATCTCTCCAACGGTGCTGAAATCTCCATTAGATATTACAGCTATTTATGGAGCAAATTCCGATCATGTCCTTGGAGAAAATGACTAGATGGTATTTTGAAAGCACTTATACACCGATTGACACAATTGTGCCACACAACTTAAGACAATTAATTGACAAAGGGGGATAGGTGCACGCATGGTCTCCAATATTTATTTTATTCTTATGTAATTTCAAAACGTTTTTTGATATTGGGTACGAGTTGTAATGTTAAGTGCAACCTAAGACTAACTTACAGTATGCCATAACCTGAGGAAGTTTCTAGAGAGATCAGCTTACTATGTAATGCTATTAACCTGCGACACTGATGCGTTTGGCAAACTCTTTAAATACAACTACACACACAGATACCTTGTCATTTGTGCCAGAAGACCGGGGTGCAGAGAGGACAGGACACAACCGTGTGTGCGCGCGCGCGTGTGGGATCGAGAGTGTGTGTGCTACTCTAAATGAATTCAGCCGTCTCTCACTGCAGTATTTCCGAGCTCCTACCCGCTGGCAAGGCTTCAAGCTTGCCGGCACACAGAATGACTGGGGCCCTTGTAAACCGCAACACAGTTATTAGATCAACGTTTCCTAAACTCGGTCCTGGGGACCTCAACGTTTTGGTTTTTGACCTAGTACTACACAGCTGATACAAATAATCAAAGCTTGATGATTAGTTGATTATTTGAATCAGCTGTGTAGTGCTAGGGCAAAAACCAAAATGTGCACACCTTGGGGTCCAGAGGACCGAGTTTGGGAAACGCTGTATTAGATCTATCAGTCTGACCCTCAACCAGGACTGTTAGCATATGGCCTGGCCTTACAATTTTATAATGTCAGAGGGGTGTCAATGACGTGAATGGGAACTATAGGGAGGAGAGGGGATGGGAGGGGAGAGGGCTCTGGGTTTAGTGAGGTCCAATCTTCCCAGATAGTTGTATAGTCCCATTATGTGCTTGAAGTACAGTGAGGGAAAAAAGTATTTGATCCCCTGCTGATTTTGTACGTATGCCCACTGACAAAGACATGATCAGTCTATAATTTTAATGGTAGGTTTATTTGAACAGTGAGAGACAGAATAACAACAAAAAATCCAGAGAAACGCATGTCAAAAATGTTATACATTGATTTGCATTTTAATGAGGGAAATAAGTATTTGACCCCTCTGCAAAACATGACTTAGTACTTGGTGGCAAAACCCTTGTTGGCAATCACAGAGGTCAGACGTTTCTTGTAGTTGGCCACCAGGTTTGCACACATCTCAGGAGGGATTTTGTCCCACTCCTCTTTGCAGATCTTCTCCAAGTCATTAAGGTTTCGAGGCTGACGTTTGGCAACTCGAACCTTCAGCTCCCTCCACATATTTTCTATGGGATTAAAGTCTGGAGACTGGCTAGGCCACTCCAGGACCTTAATGTGCTTCTTCTTGAGCCACTCCTTTGTTGCCTTGGCCGTGTGTTTTGGGTCATTGTCATTCTGGAATACCCATCCACGACCCATTTTCAATGCCCTGGCTGAGGGAAGGAGGTTCTCACCCAAGATTTGACGGTACATGGCCCCGTCCATCGTCCCTTTGATGTGGTGAAGTTGTCCTGTCCCCTTAGCAGAAAAACACCCCCAAAGCATAATGTTTCCACCTCCATGTTTGACAGTGGGGATGGTGTTCTTGGGGTCATAGGCAGCATTCCTCCTCCTCCATACACGGCGAGTTGAGTTGATGTCAAAGAGCTCCCTTTAAGAGTGTGCTCCTAATCTCAGCTCGTTACCTGTATAAAAGACACCTGGGAGCCAGAAATCTTTCTGATTGAGAGGGGGTCAAATACTTATTTCCCTGATTACAATGCAAATCAATTTATAAAATTTTTGACATGCATTTTTCTGGATTTTGTTGTTGTTATTCTGTCTCTCACTGTTCAAATAAACCTACCATTAAAATTATAGACTGATCATTTCTTTGTCAGTGGGCAAACGTACAAAATCAGCAGGCGATCAAATACTTTTTTCCCTCACTGTATGATAGATGGTTCCCAGTCATGACTTTCTTACAGGCTGGATGCAGAACCAGTGTGGAGTGTTTTACTGCTGTCTCCTGGTGTTTAATACTGCCTCTCTCCCATCTGGGAGGCTGTTGCTATGCATCAAAGGCCATCTCAAAACAGCAGCAGCTCCAGACAAGGTCTTAAATCAATTCTACAGAGATTCCATTGCGGGGAAACTAGGCAGGTTATGAATAAGGGTGATACTGTAGCTAATACTCCACCAACTGCCGTTGTCTAGCAATCTATGTTGGAATACTAGCAGATACCCATAGGCTTCCAGTCATTGCGCTATTGTTAGATAGCATTGGCTCTCGAAACTACTGTACCTCTAACTTCCTTCATACTGGACAGAGGAATACAAATTGTATCCACTAGTTCATCTAACTCTAGGGAAGTAGATAAAGGGCCTCATTGCCAAAATCCCGAAGTATCCCTTTAAGCTCCTGGTAATTGCAGCTTGGAAAAGCTAGGATTGGATTTATATGAGCTATTGCTAATCAATATTGAAATGCTAATTGGGTCGGTAGCTAATTTAACTGTCAGTATTATTATTATTCTGCAGATGTGTGTGAATGAGTGATAGTCTTGACGAAGATCCATACAGTATCAAAAATGTGCCCTTCCATTTGTGAGTATATAAATCGTGGGAGCAAAGAAGTGTTGCAGATCTATGTCCTTGGGTACAGTCCAGTGTCTCCTCTCACTGTGTCCCCATCTCTCTCCCCATCTCAGAGCCCTCATTATGCTCCCCCGCGCCCCGCTGGCCTGCCTCCTCCTGCTGCTCCTGTCGGGGGTGCTGGGGGGGCTGGTCCTGTCCATCTGCCCCTCCGTGTGCTCCTGCAGCCGGGGCCACCGTGTGGTGGACTGCTCCTCACGGCACCTCTCACAGCTGCCCCCAGGCCTGCAGCACAACATCCGCTTCCTCAACCTCTCACACAACAGGTATGAAGACACTTCTTCTTCCTCATCTTCCTCTTCATCATCCTCTACCTTCTCATCCTCATCAGGTTGGGTCCTACCTCTAAACGTCTGGGTTCTGAGATTGAGCAATAACCATGACTAATAGCCAGACAGAATCAGCAGGGAGGAGATCCTAATAATTACATTCACAGCCTTTGCTGCATATTCAAATCGATGGAAGTCTACCAATTCATGTTAGGTCACAGTATGTGGTTTGATTTAAACTAACTAATTCCACAGGCATAATTTATTTATCCTCTTCCGCAGATGTTTTCTGTATTTTCGCATCTTTAGTGTTGTGACAAATGGAACTTCTAAAATGAGAATTTCCCTCTCTCCCAACAGCCTTTGTGGTCTGGACGGCCAGCTCAGCCACTACGCCCACCTGCGTACCCTGGACCTGTCCTATAACCTCCTGGGTCGCTTCCCCTCCGGCCTGCCCAGGGCCCTCTGGGACATCCGGGCCGCCGGCAACCAGCTCCGAGCCCTGGACAAGAACGACACGGCCTACCATTGGAACCTGCAGGTACTGGACCTGTCAGCCAACGAGCTGGAGAGGGTGGTCTTCATCAACAACACCCTGCCCAGGCTACACGCCCTAAACTTGAGTCACAACCGGTTCTGGACTGTGCCCACCAACATGCCTCATAATCTGGAGATGGTGGATTTGTCCCACAACTACCTGGTTCAGATCCTCCTGGGGTCCTTGAACCGGCTGCCCAGGCTGAGGAGGTTCTACCTGCATGCTAATCGCTTCTCCTGGGTACCGGAGGGGGTGTTTGACCGGTTGGAGGGGCTCGAGTTCTTGACGCTTGGGGATAACCCTTGGGCTTGTGAAGAGGAGGAAAACATCACAAAGCTCTTGCTCTGGGCTGAACACACCCGTGCTGCCGTGTTGGGCTGCCCCTGCTACACTAAGCCAACATGTGGGCAATCCCATTTGGCAACTCCAGGAGGGGAGTGGCACTTTGCGTCCTACACAGAGCCTCCACTGGGGGCTGATGCCAGAGAGCTGGGCCGTGGGGGCCTCCCACCGGTTAGGGCTGCAGTCGTCACTTCTGGGTACTTGGCTAAGTCTGCGTTGTTGGAGCCTGGGACGCATGGAGACAGGGGTGCAGCCAACAGCTCGAGGGACCAGAACTGGTTTGTGTTCACCTCCACCCCCTCGCACAGCCTCTCCACACGCACAAGCACAATGGGGCACCCGCGCTCCACCGCCAAGAAGCCCAACACAGGAAGCACGCGGAGCAGAGGCCACGGACTCCACACACAGATCCTGTATTCTCTAGTCGCCTTGAACCTTCTAGTCATGGTGACTGCCTTCAAAGCCTTCTAAACCCATCCGTTGTCAGAGACTAGAGCCAAGTCTTGAAGGATTTTGGAGACGGCTAACCCTATGTACGTATGACCCAGAATGTTAAAAGGGAGAGGTTTGCTTTTGTTTTGATTTTAAAGAACGTTCGACTGTTACTGCCTAAATGTGTATTCTCTCTCTTCCAACAATTTGACCACCATCTACAGAGTGTAGTTGTGCTGTATGGCTATACCTTTCAAACTTGTATACAAATAATATATTTTGCAAATGTATTCACATACAGTGCATTCGGAATGTATTCAGACCCCTTCCCTTTTTTCACATTTTGTTACGTTACAGCCTTATTCTAAAATTCATTAAATAAATAAAAATCCTCATCAATCTACACAAAATACCCCATTATGACAAAGCGAAAACAGGTTTTTAGAAATGTTTGCAAATGTATTAAAGATGAAAAACAGAAATACCTTACTTACATAAGTATTCAGACCCTTTGCTATGAGACTCGAAATTGAGCTCAGGTGCATCCTATTTCCATTGATCATCCTTGAGATGTTTCTACAACTTGATTGGAGTCCACCTGTGGTAAATTCAATTAATTGGACAAGATTTGGAAAGGCACCCACCTGTCTATATAAGGTCCCACAGTTCACAGTGCATGTCAGGGAAAGAACCAAGCCATGAGGTCGAAGGAATTGTCCATAGAGCTCCGAGACAGGAGGCACAGATCTCACGAAGGTACCAAAAAATGTCTACAGCATTGAAGGTCCCCAAGAACACAGTGGTCTCCATCATTCTTAAATGGAAGAAGTTTGGAAGCACCAAGACTCTTCCTAGAGCTGGCCGCCCGGCCAAACTGAGCAATCGGGGTAGAAGGGTCTTGGTCAGGGAGATGACCAAGAACCCAATGGTCACTCTGACAGAACTCCAGAGTTCCTCTGTGGAGATGGGAGAACCTTCCAGAAGGACAACCATCTCTGCAGCACTCCACCAATCAGGCCTTTATGGTAGAGTGGCCAGACAGAAGCCACTCCTCAGTAAAAGGCACATGACAGCCCGCTTGGAGTTTGCCAAAAGGCACCTAAAGACTCTCAGACCATGAGAAACAAGATTCTCTGGTCTGAGATTGAACTCTTTGGCCTGAATGTCAAGCGTCACGTCTGGAGGAAACATGGCACCATCCCTACGGTGAAGCATGGTGGTGGCATCATCATGCTGTGGTGATGTTTATCAGTAGCAGGGCCTGGGAGACTAGTCTGGAGAGGGAAAGATGAACGGAGCAAAGTACAGAGAGACCCTTGATGAAAACCCGCTCCAGAGCACTCAGGACCTCAGACTGGGGCGAAGGTTCACCTTCCAACAGGACAACAACCCTAAGCACACAGCCAAGACAACGCAGGAGTGGCTTCGGGACAAGTCTCTGAAAAGCCCTTGAGTGGGCCAGCCAGAGCCCGGACTTGAACCTGATCTAACATCTCTGGAGAGACCTGAAAATAGCTGTGCAGCAACACTCCCCATCCAACCTGACAGAGCTTGAGAGGATCTGCAGAGAAGAATGGACTCCCCAAATACAGGTGTGCCAAGCTTGTAGCATCATACCCAAGAAGACTAAAGGCTGTAATTTCTGCCAAAGCTGCTTCAACAAAGTACTGAGTAAAGGGTCTGAATACTTATGTAAATGTGATATTTATAAAAACCTGTTTTTGCTTAATCATTATGGGGTATTGTGTGTAGATTGATGAGGGGGGAAAAATAATTGAATCAATTTTAGAATAAGGCTGCAACGTAACAAAATGTGGAATAAGTAAAGGGGTCTGAATACATTCTGAATGCACTGTACATGACTAATCATACTGTATCGGTGTGGAAACATGAATGCTCTACTCTATGTACTCTATACTGCTTGTCCGTTCTGTTGACAGATGCTGCTGCCCTTTATGGTTTCTATGATATAAAGAAAAGGAAAACATTTAGAATGCATTTACTGTACGTGTGATTTGGAAGAGTCAGTGTATGACGTGAGAACTAATCTTTCAACCTTGGCATCAGCTTGGTTTGGGGGTTATCTAGGAGGGCCTGCAAGTTCTTAAAGTGGAACTGACAGCGTTTTAAATACTTTGCAGATAATAGGTTATATTTGACTCAAAATTCCATGACGTTGAGTAAGGCATTGTTGGCAGACTAGATGGATGCAGTTCAATGCATAATTAATATAGCAAATTCTCCAATACATTTCTTGGTAGTCCAACAAATATTGCTATCAGGTTGTAAATCACAGCTGGCCTGGTACATTGTTTGCTGCCTCCAGCCCTTCGGGATGCACCGTTTCAGTTTCAATGACTCAATATTTTGGACAAAAACAGAGGCTGGGAATATCAATACAATCAAACTAGCAAGGGCGATGATCACAAATCTGTCATAACGTGGCTAATAAGCTAGCTTATCTATTCAAGCTATTTATTTAGCAAGCTAAAAACAGGGAGCCTAACGTTAGCTAGCTAGCTGCTGGGAGGGTGTCGTCATTGGACGAGTGGGTGAGTGAGTGACTTTTCCCCCCATATCATTTTATGGTGGCTACAACTAGAGATGCAGGTGTCATTTGGTTAGCTAGCAAGAAATGTGAATCACTTTGCTAGATAGATATGCTAAACTTCAACAACTGTTATCCACAGTTAGCATATTTCTTAGTTGTCAATCAAATGTATTTGGCATCGATCAAATGAGAGGGCGGGCAGGCACGTTCCCATTCAGTTGTCAAAACGTAGGTTGGGACAAGCATGCATTGGCAGGCAAGCTGCAGAAGGTCGAGCAGGCTACTTTTCCCCATCGTTTATCAGTGCAAATTTGACGGACAACTATAAGCAAAACAAGTTTGAGAGGGTTTATCTACTTTTCCCTTGTTAGATTTTAGCTCTTCTCGCTCTGGCTAACATTAGTTGTTGATCTTGTTGTTGTTGATGTGCATAGGCAACTGAGGGAGATCAACCTGTTGTTTGAGCAATAGGACTGTAAACTTCCCAAATGTAAGAGGACTCCCGTTGTACACTATATATACACAAAGGTATGTGGACACCCCTTCAAATTAGTGGATTCGGCTATTTCAGCCACACCCATTGCTGACAGGTGTATAACATTGAGCACACAGCCATGCAATCTCCATAGACAAACAGTGGAAGTAGAATGGCCTTACTAAAGAGCTCTAACTTTCAATGTGGCACCGTCATAGGATGCCACCTTTCCAACAAGTCAGTTCGTAACATTTCTGCCATGCTAGAGCTGCCCTGATCAACTGTAAGTGCTATTATTGTGAAGAGGAAACGTCTAGGAACAACAACGGCTCAGCCACTAAGTGGTAGGCCACACAAGCTCACAGAATGGGACTGCCGAGTGCTGAAGCACGTAGCCCGTAAAAATAGTCTGTCCTCGGTTGCAACACTCACTACCGAGTTCCAAACTGCTTCTGGAAGCAACGTCAGCACAATAACTGTTTGTTGGGAGATTCTTGAAATGGCTTTCCATGGCCGAGCAGCCGCACACAAGCCTAAGATCACCATGCGCAATGCCAAGCGCTGGCTGGAGTGGTGTAAAGCTCGCCGCCATTGGACTCTGTAGCAGTGGAAACGCATTCTCTGAAGTGATGAATCACGCTTCACCATCTAGCAGTCTGACTGACGATTCTGGGTTTGGCGGATGCCAGGAGAACGCTACCTGCCCCAATGCACAGTGCCATCTGTGAAGTTTGGTGGAGGAGGAATAATGGTCTGGGGCTGTTTTTCATGGTTCGGACTAGGCCCCTTACGTTTCAATCACACCGACAGCGTCATTGCGTTTTGGTACACCAGAAGTACATTCATTCCAGTGGATCGCTGCGTGTGCTTTGCAGCATTGTGTTGCAGAGGCATTTACAGCGCGTTCTGTGGATTTATCGAACGAATGCGTCAAACTGTATGCATAGACGGCTTGACAGAAAATGGTAGCAGAAGGTGAATGTTGTACTTTTGTTGCACACATCCAGATGATGCTGCGTATTATTTTGCGCAATGACGCTATCGGTGTGATCAAGGCGTTAGTTCCAATGAAGGGAAATCTTAACACTACAGCATACAATGACATTCTAGATGATTCTGTGCTTCCAACTTTGTAGCAACAGTTTGGGGAAGGCCCTTTCCTGTTTCAGCATGACAATGCCCCTGTGCACAAAGCGAGGTCCATATAGAAATGGTTTGTCGAGATGTGTGGAAGAACTTGACTGGTCTGCACAGAACCCTGACCTCAACCCCATCAATTACCTTTGGGAGGAATTGGAACGCCGACTGCGAGCCAGGCCTAATCGCCCAACATCAGAGCCCGACCTCACTAATGCTCGTGGCTGAATGGAAGCAAGTCCCCGCAGCAATGTTCCAACATCTAGTGGAAAGCCTTTCCAGAAGAGTGGAGGCTGTTATAGCAGCAAAGCGGGGACCAACTCCATATTAATGCCCATGATTTTGGAATGAGATGTTCGACGAGCAGGTGTCCACATAATTTTGGTCATGTAGCGTATTTACATATTTGCAGAAATTCATTCAGGGGTATTTTGTGACTTTTGGCAAAGGCTTTCTAATGATCTACCGTCGCGCTGTTGCCTGTAAACACACAGTCCAATTCAAAGTGAGTGAAGGCAAGCCAAATGGCTTATTTGCATATAGGCTACTGTAGCTCTGATTTTCTAATGGCACATCGGTCTGTGTAGAGTCCGGTCCTGAGGGGCGTTCAGTTCGCGTCAACATTTGCTATGTTGCGGAACGGTTTGTACCCGAATGACACGTTTCCCCCAAACTTTCTTGTACGTTCTTGAACAGACTTTGAGGTACGATTGCTCCCATTTGGTGGGTGTGGCAAGGTCTAGCTTGGCCGTGCTGACAGCGTTCCCCAACCCACAACCCAACCCCTCCCCGTTTTTCAACTAGTCGTTCAGTACAGCACTGTTTCCGTTCAATTGAATGTTTCAGAACGTAAAAGCGTACTGAATGCAGCCCTGGACAAGACTGGCACGTTTTTATTAGGGTTTATTTACTGCAGCATCTATCAATTGTTCAAACGCACGGCCGCTTTCCCATTTTATATTGCTATAGAATTTTCACAAATGCCTTACTCTACGTCATTCCCAAACATTTTATGAATATATGAAAACGTAGAAATGACCATATCTAAGTGCTCGCTTCTCATAAAAAGTTTTTTAAAAGGCGGCATATTTTTCCTTGGGGTGTATATGAATCAATTTTAATAATATTTAATGTTACTAAAACGCTGTCAGTTCCACTTTAAGCCCCTAACATGCAAGCACACACACACAC